TCCCGGAGGCTGTACACGACGATGCTGACGAAGTTTGACTGCGTGGTAATGGACGACTACAAGCAGCTTCCGGGACAGGAGTTTTATACGGCAAAAGGAAGGGGAAAGGTAGCAGATGTTTTCAAGCACATGAAACTGTCAAAGTTCGCAAAGAAATATCTGGTTTGGCAAGCCATCTGTACCTGTGGCTTGAAAAGCAGCATTTTCATAGCTTCCGGGACTGTCAACCAAGAAATTTACATGAAAGAGTGTTTGAATAAACGTCTGCTGCCTTTCCTGAAGAAACACGGTTGTTCCGTACTGTTTTGGCTGGATTTGGCATCTTGCCATTACGGTAAAAAGGCCATGGAGTGGTACGCCGCCAACAACGTGCAGGTGGTTCCCAGGGACAAGAACCCTCCCAACACGCCAGAGCTCCGCCCAATTGAGAAATACTGGGCTATTGTCAAGCGGAACCTAAAGAAGACCAAAAAAACTGCTAAGGGCGAGCAGCAGTTCAAGGCAAACTGGCTTTCTGCGGCGAAGAAGGTGGACAAGGTGGCTGTACAAAATCTGATGGCAGGGGTCAAGCGTAAGGCCCGGCAATTCGGATTTGGAAAAGCGGAAGCCTAACTGAATATTTTTCCTGAATTTTATACTAATTGAACTTGAAAAAGAAATTTAATTTGATTTTTTAAATAAACGATTTCACCGATTTACACGCGTTTTCCTTTGACCAAATTTTGACCGTATCACCCTTTACAATAGTTTGAATGGACAAAAGTACAATGGTGATAATGGATACAAACGCCGAATGATTCAAAGCGAATTAAAAGGAAGAATGGTGGTCCATTTTGTTGTGAAGCCTACTTGGCCAGGTATCACATAATGACTTCTTGACAGACTTCAGACACCTTAACGATGAATATTAAATTAGTTATCAGCATTTCTAGATAGAGGTGGAATAAGGGAGTAACAGGTTTTGTAAACAATGACTTCTCTTGATGATTGCTAGGAATTCAAGGCACGACCACGCAAACCAACATAACCATCTGGTAGGGAAAGTCTTCCTCTTCCCGATGGTGATGTTGATTTGCGTTGGAAAACGTTGACTTTCTAGAAATCATCGAAAAAAAAGTGATTGTTTAAAAAAGCTGTTGCGCCTTAATTCCAGCCCTATCTAGGTTTATTTGGTTATATGAAAAAATAATGAGCAGTGATAAAAAGAAGGGACAATATTGATAATGCCATTCAAGCTTTCCGTGCGGGCTACGGATGAAAATAGTAAGAAAAACTGTACAATTTGCAATAAACTAGCAAACGGATTGATTTAACATCAGCATGTTAACAAACCTAATGAAGCCCTTCCAATACGAATACTGTTCCGGAGGATTTAACCAGAGGCTATAGAAACCACGAACAGGGATAATAAGAAGTGAAAATAATGATAATGGGTTCTTTATATTAAGCAGTTCCGGGCGGAATAGGATGAACAAATAAAAAACAGAACAGCGACCTTCTCCGATTTGCATGAAACTTTGCATAATTGTGTGTTATGGGCAATCATTCACAATTTAGGAAAGAATGGGCCATTTTGGATCATGTAATTTTTTTTTTCAAAATGGCTTTGTAATTTCACAAAAATCGGTTGTAATTTCAGAAAGTTATAGCTCACAATGTCCAAAAAAGGAATGGTGCTTCAGAGTAATCATGGGCAGGAAAGAGTTAAGCATTTTTTCAAACCCCTGGATATGAAAGGTTTCTAAGTCAAAAACCTCTTTTTTCGAGTCCAGGATCATGAAAAATTGGCAAATTGAGGATATTGAACAGTTCGAAAATTAATAAAACTGCTCCAACCTCTAGATTTGGCTATGTCTGGGATCTTTTTAATATTTGAAAGCTGTAGCAAGTGCGCTTCATGATTAGCAAATTAAGATTAAACATTTACAAACTGCAGTCATATATATGTTTTCTATGAATTATTCAATCGTTATCTGTTATATGTTATTTATTATTTAAAATATGAAATAGCTTTTGTTGATGATGCTGTTAACCTGAAATGAGAAGTAAAATGATTATTTTGTGAATTCGATTAAATTACAAGAACAAAATTTATAAACACTATACTTACCCATCCTTGAATTATACCTACCTACTTGAACTACTTACCTTGTATACCACTACACACAACAATCGATGTGAACCACTACACTCTACACGATGCGCCACAGGCAGCACAATACCCGAGACACGAAGAGGAGAATAAAGTTTAGTTTGCATTCGATAGTCGCACAGAAAAGTTCGGTAGATAACATTCCTCCGTCGCCAAAGGAAATCGTTCCTCCAGAGAAAGTCTCTACTAGGGAAAAGTGCAGTGTGTCTTTCCTTTGTGTCCTTCGCCGTCGTCAAAAAAAAAACCCAAAGGCTCTCCCAATAGTGCACCTGTCGCCGTTCGATAACATCAAGGCTACCTACGGCTGAAGAATCCAGCACGGTAAGTGCGCTCCCCAACAGTTTATGGTGCCGAAACCCGGGAGCAAGTGTTGCAGAAACTTCTGGAAGGTACGCCATTGTCATCGTCGCCGGTACCGCGTGGCTTGTGGTATCCATTGTTTCGGATTCATCGTGGTGAATTGGCCCTCCAGGCGGATCAAACCATCGAAGATCGCCTACCATTCTTCTCGGCATCACGACACTCCGGATTCTGGGACGAAGTTTGGAATCCTCCACAGCGAACGGGCAAAGGACGGTAGAGGTAATCCATTCATCGATACCAGGTGGGTGCGATTTTGTTTCATTGTTGCCAATAAAGATGACACTACCGAAGAAACGTGAGGCACGTTCTACGGCTGCAAAATTAAAAACGTATTTGCGGCAAAGAGCAACCATTCTTGGCTCTGCCGCGTTGATCAAACACTTCAACGATCAATATCAAGAGGGTCAATTTCACCAAGTAAAAGTGAGGATTGAGTCCCTTGATCATTTGTGGGCAGATTTTGCACGGGTGCAGGACGAGATCGAAGAGCTCGAAGGTCACAATGAAGGTGACGACGATGCTGAGCCAACATTGTCCGAGCAACGCATTCGTTTTCAGAATTTGTACTTCGAGCTGAAGGCGTCGCTCGTCAGCAAGTTGCCGGTAATCCCTCAACCCTCTACTTCGAACGATCGTCGTCCTCCGGTGCAACCAATGCATTTTGTGCGGTTGCCGGAAATCAACATCCCCGAGTTTTGCGGCAATTCATCCAACTGGATTGTCTTTCGGGACATTTTTCGGTCCATGATCCATGCAAGCGCTCATCTTTCGTCGGTGCAGAAGAAGCACTATCTGAAGGCGGCTCTCAAGGGTGAAGCCGCTCGCATGGTCGCCAATCTGGAAGTAAATTCCGATAACTATCCGATCGCATGGAAATCGGTTTGTGAGCGATAGGATAATCCTAACCTCCTACGGAAACATCATTTCGCTGCCCTTTTCGCAATTCCTTGTGTGAAAAGGGCTTCGTCGTCGACATTATACGACCTCGTCGATGAATTTGATCATCATGTGGGCATTTTAGAAAAGCTGGACAACCCGGCTAATCTGTGGAACACGGTGCTTGTTGAGACCCTGAGCAAACGGCTCGATTCTAGCACGCTCAAAGAGTGGGAAAACTCATGTGAGGGAGAAGAACGTCCTACCTACCAGAAACTGGTAGAATTTGTGCGGAAAACGTCGCGAGTCCTGCAGTCTGTCAAGCTGCTGCAGCCTTCAAATACACCTTTCGAATCAAGGCCTACAAAACCCAAACCGATTTCCACTCACATTGCAACAGAGATAACAAGCAAATGTTCTCTTTGCAAGCAAGCACACCCACTCTTCAAATGCGATCAGTTTATCGGAATGGAGGCGAAGCAACGCTTTGAGCTGGTGAAGAAGCATGGATTGTGCATCAATTGCCTGAAGGGATCACATCTGGCGAAAAACTGTAGCAGTGGTAGCTGCAGGAATTGCTCGAAGAAGCACCACACTCTTCTGCATTGGTCGTCGCCAACCGTAGCTGTGAAATCCGCCGGTCAAACAGCATTGGCATGCTCTACGGTATCCAGTGAGGTGTTTCCTTCCGAGCAAGACCAGTTGAATTCGTCCGCAATCGAAACGCAATCGTATGCTTCACCACCATCGCGTCCGATATCTTCGCATGTCGAACTCGGTTCGGTAAACACGTATTCGTATTCGGTTGTCGTAGCTCCCTCCCCGTCGCCGGTTAGTTCGTTCCCGTCGCGATCGATCGGCAATATCCTCGATTTGGGCTCTTCTCCTGTGGCTTTCTACGTTGCCCCACAAAAAGGTTCCGTGAAGGCGCATAGTGATGAAGTTTTTCTGTCAACAGTGGTGATGAAAGTGAAGGACGTCAGTGGAAATTACCATTGCGCTCGAGGAGTTCTGAACAGCTGCTCTCAAGCCAACTTCATATCGGAAGCTCTGGCACGGAAGCTGGAACTGAAACGTGACCGGATAAGCGTCGATGTCAGTGGAATTGGTCAAGGCATCGTTCACATTCGCTCGAAGGTAGTCATCAAAATCTCATCTCGCTTCGGAAGATTTGATTACCTACTCGAATGCCTTGTCATACCACAAATCACGGTTACACTCCCTAGCAAGCACATCGATATCGCTAGTTGGAACCTCCCCGATAACATTCCTCTCGCAGACCCCAGGTTCAACATCAGCTCTGGGGTCGACATCCTGATTGGGGGAGATCTGTTCTACTCATTAATGGAAACGCATAAGGTACACTTATCGGCTGGTTACCAGATACTCCAAAAGACCGTCTTCGGGTACGTCGTTGCTGGAAGATTATCCGAACCATCGAATGCTTCATCAATCTGCATCGTGAATGCAACTGCAAGTCTCGACAGTAAGTTACAGCGCTTTTGGGAGGTCGAGAACTTCGACGACCATAAGGCGATGACACCCTTGGAAGAAGCGTGTGATGACGAATGATGGTCGCTACATGGTTCGGCTTCCTCTACGGGAAGAAATGCTTGCTATGTTGGGAGATTCGTTTGCGGTGGCGCAACGTAGATTTTTGGCGATCGAGCGGAAGTTTGCGGTGAATAGTGACTTCAAGAACGAGTACGTTAAGTTTATGGAGGAGTACAAGGCACTAGGCCACATGGAGTTGAGTCCTCGCGTCGAAAATCCCCAGTTTGTCCTGCCACATCATGCCATCTTCCACCCGGACAGTTCTACCACGAAGACCCGCGTGGTATTTGATGCTACATGCAAGGGGAGTTCCCAGTTGTCGCTGAATGATGTTTTGCTCGTCGGCCCAATTGTTCAACCTCCTCTGCTCGCAATCGTTCTCAACTGGCGGATACCTCGGTACGTTTTCAATGCAGATGCGGAGAAGATGTTCCGCCAAATCTGGGTCCATCAATTGGACCGCAAATTCCTGCAAGTTCTTCGGCGCTTAAGTGGGTTTCAACAACTTCAGCGGTACCAGCTCACTACAGTTACATACGGCACTTCTTGTGCACCGTATCTCGCAACCCGTGTGCTGAACCAACTGGCGGAGAACGAGGGTCACCGATACCCTCTAGGTGCGAAAGTAATCCTCAGCGGATTCTACATGGACGACGCACTGTCTGGCGAGGACGATTTGGAGGTCGCCATCGAGGCGAGCAAGCAGCTAGAGGAGCTCCTGAAGCTGGCTGGATTCAATTTGAGAAAATGGAGCACCAACGATACAAGGGTTCTGGCACACGTGAATGATGATTTGAAGGAGTTCTCGCCAGAAACAGAAATCGATGGTTCTGGAACCGTAAAAACATTGGGTCTTCTTTGGTCGGACATCACGGATGAGTTCGGTTTCAAGATTCCAGCCTTACCGCCACTGGAGAAGGTCACCAAGCGGATAGTGGCCTCCGAGATGGCACAGTTATTCGACCCACTCGGATTAGTCGGATCCGTAGTTATGAGTGCGAAGATGTTCATCCAAAGGCTGTGGGCGATACACATTCCTTGGGACGAGGAACTTCCCGAAAGCCTTCGGGTCTGGTGGATGCGTTTCCGTGGTGAGATCCCTGAACTGTCGAAGCTGAAGGTTCCCCGACGCGTTCTAGCAAACACGAACAACCATTACGCTCTCCATTGCTTCTGTGATGCTTCCGACCACGGATATGGATCGTGTGTCTACGTAGTTTCGAATGGAATGGAAAAGGGTTGTAACAATGCCAACTACTCATCGCTAAGTCTCGCGTTGCACCTCTACGTGGACTCACTATTCCAAAACTCGAGCTTTGCGCAGCCCTCCTTGGCAGCCAGCTGATGGAACAAGTTAGAAAAACCACAAACTTCTCGGGAACAGCAATCTTCTGGTCCGATTCCAGCATCGTTCTGCACTGGATCTAATCTCCACCTGCAGTTTGGAAGGTGTTCGTTTCAAACAGAATAGCGGAAATCCAAAAGCTAACCAAAAACAATTGCTGGCGACATGTTCCTTTGAAGGAGAATTCCGCTAAACGCATATCTCGTGGTATTTTGCCATCCCAGATAATCGATGATCGACTTCTCATTTCAGGTTCTAGGTTAACAGCATCATCAACAGCCTTTTTTTCTTCAAATTAATCTCAAATGTGTTCACCGCAAAGGAACACCCATTATTTAAGTAGCCCTTGAATTATTCACCGCAAAGGAACACCCATTATTTAAGTAGCCCTTGAATTATATATATATAAACATAAAAAACAGAGGAAGAAAGATCGTGTGCTCTCAAAAAGTGTGACAGGACTAAGTGTTGTAAGTGCTATAGTGAGCGATAGTTGCTTCCTTACAGTTGTTCACACAATTAACTTCCTTTTTGGTTTCCACCCAACTGTTCGAAACCACACAACCAAGAAAAAGTCAATACATCCTATCGCACAAAGTCACTATAAAAACCCGACCTATCGCCATTGGCCGCAGGACGAGACGATGAAATTAGGACCCATTCTGTCGCGTATAGTGGAAGTAATTTCCGAAAGTATTTTTTATCATCGAACAACTTGACTTCCGATTGCCCTGATAGCTTCGATTCGTGCCCAGTCTATTGTCGAGGGTGAAAGTCTTGTTCCGCATTCTAGTCGTCGTCGTCGTCGTCGTCGTCGTCGTCGTCGTCGTCGTCGTCGTCGTCGTCGTCGTCGTCGTCGTCGTCGTCGTCGTCGTCGTCGTCGTCGTCGTCGTCGTCGTCGTCGTCGTCGTCGTCGTCGTCGTCGTCGGTCGGTCGTTGGCTTGTGTTTACGATTTGCTATTAAGATAAATGCGCTAGGATGAGTCATCGCTTAAAATGATGAGTTCTCCTGATTAGATAGAATCAGCTCCAACATTTTTCTTCTCTTTCGTAGAACGAAAGGACGGTCTTTTTCTGCACACTATACAAAATTGAATATCCTAATGAATCCCTGGGATGTGCCGACCAGATCAGATCATCTGCGTTCCGCAAATGCAAAGAAGGAAAGAAAAAAAAAAAAACTTAATAATTCACCCGAAGACGAAATAATCCATCCTAGGGATCTGGCAAGCTCGACAGATACAAATTCCTTCATCTCATCCGAACAGCAGGAATAGCAGCGCGACTCGATTGTAGCTCATTTATCTCCCCATCATTGCACCCGTACTAACAACGTTGGTTGGAAGAAGAGCACTCCGCATCGTGGTGGCCTTGGTCCTGTCTGTTTCCATTTGAATCCACCTTCCATCCTCGGTTCAACATGCCGAGATGGGGGACGAGGAACCAAATGAAAAATCTATTTTCACCGTCTCTCTACTTTCCCTCCCACTAGGAGTGGGCGAGGATGAACTAGCTCTACCATCAAAGGCTTGAACGATGACGACGTGGACAACGGCGGCAAAGAAGATGCATCTGGGAGCGGATAAAGGTCTTTAATAAAACATAAAACTAGGAAAGATAGCATAATTTATTGCAGGGAATTTATCTCGCCCCCAAAGTTCGCTCACAGAGAGCTTTTTTCCTCCTTTCTGGATCGCTGTAATCCAGCCCCATTTAACCTCTTTTCCCGCCCGGAGAGGATACACTGGAGGGGTGTGTCGTTTTTGGGGTGGTTTTTTTCCCTCAACTGTAGGACTAAAGCTGTTCGCTAAATAGAGCGAGAAAAGCCCGGAATGCAGTCCGCTGCTGCAGTATCAGCAGGGTAGTCCTTTGTGCAGCTTCCGGTCGTCGGAGTGGCTGCCTGCTGTGACCACATCCCAATTAATCTTGCACCCGTCCATTTGCATACTGCTCTTCCGTTGGGGGCGTTCTTTTTTTTTATCGCTCGTTCTGAACTCGACCAGTTCACAAGCTCAAATCCACTATTTCAACTTCATTTCGCCATAGCTTATGGGCACACTAATAGTAGTAGCGATGCTACAACAAGTTAAAACAAGAATGTTTGACAAGAAGCGATGGAAGCCCATTTTCCGAAACGAGGGTTTTTAATAAATGAATTGCCAATCAATTTGTTCGGCTGTGCCCCAGATGCCCATCAACCAGCAAACCGGCGACTGGAACGGGTCGCTGAGCATTTATTGCTACACTGACTGTGCCCACTGGGTGGATGTGATGAAAGGAAAGTCGGAAGTGCACCAGATGGGTGATGAGTTCGGTTGTTCGCGAAAAATTACAAAGCGCTGGGTGAGGGATGGTCGGAATAAGTTGTGACCAGGTGACCTGAGCTGAAATTTGCAGTGTGGAGAAGCTGTCACGGGTAATGATGAAATATTAAAAAGCTATACAGTTATGTCACTTCTGCATAAATCATGCTATTTTTATTCTTTTTATGAGAGGTTACTGATGGGTCATTAGGCCGAATGCTGGGCCGTCAGTTATTTTTAGAAAATGAGAAAATTCATGGACTCAAACTTCTTAAAATGTCCGTCTTAGTTTGAAAATAAACATATTTATTTGAAGTTCGTTCGTTGATGTTCAAAGGTCACTTAACGGACCTAAATTATTGGTAGCAGGCAACCGTATTGTACCCTCCATAGGTATTGAATGGCCACTAGTGTGCCTTGACATCGCAATTAAGCAAATGTCAGTTTGATAAAATTGCAAAATTTAATTGTTATTAGGCATGAGATATAATCGCAAATACAGCCATTTTAGGGAGGCTATCCAATTTTTAAAAGTAAAAAAAAAAAATGTTATATACATTGCATGTTGTTGTACCTAATACGAGAAAGTATGTTAAAAAAACTGTTAGTGTACGTATAGGTGTCTAAAATAAACAACAATTCATTCACTTTCATTTCCGTCCAAACGTAAATCCTATTTTACCTTAGTCAACTTACTATATCCTTGTTGATATATCCCAATGCACAGTGGGAAGGGAATAAAATCCAGCAGGAAAATAATAATATCGCTCTGGGATTGCATTCAACTGAGTGGACGTTTTCAGTGAAGTTTCTTAGTATAATTAGTACATAGTTCAAGTTATTGCCACAAAGATGGCGCAACGAAACAAACTTTTTTAAATAGTAGTTTGCTATCTTGGGCAAAGTTGAAGAACGTAGAATTTGATGAAAAGTTGCTTAAGCCAGAAAAAGTGTCCATCTTCAAACAACTAAGATATACGAAGTTTTATAAAATTTGCCTGAAATTCACGTTGTTAGTATTATATTTTGAATCTGTCAAATACCCTACACTAAAGGTATTTTCAGATATCGAAAACCGATGTCCGATTCGATTTTGAATCCAAGATGTCAAATACCTTGTGTTAGCGCTTCAGTCCAGCACCAATAACGCTATGCAAAATAAACACGTAACCCTATCACCACACACCAACGAAGTCTTCTGTAGCAGTTAGACATCACACATCGTGGCAACAGTGCGATGAACGAACGGGATGAATCACGGAGAATCTGTTATGTACCTGCTTTTGCACACAACGCGCATTGCACACGGCACGAAATAGGTAAATCACATCCAGAAGCAAGTGTTTTTACAAACACAGCCCACATCAGTTGTCTGTAGTTTGTTTGAGTGGTCCACCCATGAACCGTTTGTCTGCGGACAAGCAAATCCAAATCCAGTCACAAGACAGCAAGCTGCATTCTTTCATCATCAAGGGCCATGCTTAGGCCCAAACACCCTGCAATTTGAATATTTTCGAAACCGGAACGACGTGTGGATGCCGAAAATCGGTGTCTGACGCCATTTTGAAATCCATTTGTTTTAGGAATATTGTCAAATGCCCAACAATATGGTTATTTCCGGAACGGGGACGAAAATCAATATTCGAAGCCATTTTAGAATCTAACATGGTGGCTCTCGGTTTCGAAAGAAAAACTAGCACATACCCTACAATATGTATTTTCAGAACGGAGACAACGTTTAGATAATGAAAAACTATGTTCGACGTCATTCTGTATTCCAATATGGCGGCCATTGATTTCATAAAAAATAAAAAACTATCAAATACCCTATCGATATTTTCCGAACGAGAAAGACCAAAATCGGAATGCCAAAAGACCGGATTCCAAAAATGGCGTCATACTCGATTTTCCGTCTGTTGTAGGGGATTTGATAGTTTTACAAAAACAGAGAGCTGCCATCTTAGACTTCAAACTTGCGTTGGACATCGATTATTGACCTCTACATATCGTCCCCATTCCGATAATACCCATATTGTGGGGGTATTTGACAGTACTTTGTTTATCTGTAGACGAAAGCGACCATTTTGCAGTTCAATATGGCGTAGGAAAGCACTTGCCGGTCCCTAGCTGTCACCCCGATTCCGATAATATGCATATTGAGTGGTATTTGACAGTATTTCCAACTTTTCCTGTAGCTGGAAGCTGTCATGTTTGATTTTAAGAGCGGTAGTGTGAAAACGTAAAACGCAAGGGAATTGACTATGTGCGCCACAGATGGCGGTACTACCAATAAATCATGGATTTAACCCCAAGCTCTTCCACAGCACATTAAATCGCCAACATCATTTGTATATTTGATATTGAACATTAACCTCGGAAGCTATTTGCATATCAAGCGAAAAAGTAGTCCTGTTTTGTCGCGAAGTGTTATGGTTAGGAGATGCTCGATGACCCTGGAGGGATCGTTTTTGCTTACTGAGCAGAAAATCATGGGTTTAATCCCAAGCTCTCCGTCATGACTCTCAAAGTTCATGATCACTAAACAAAATGAATATGTTCTTTCGATAGCCGGCTATCGAGAGATTAAATAATAAAAAAAAAAAACAAATAAACAATACGTACTTTTGGTTGCATCTCAAACTTGAGACTTGAAACCGGAAGCCACCATCTTGGATTTGAATATGGCACCGGATATCG